TATATCCATACTTGCACATCGCTGCCCTCTCCCGGCAAATTTGACAGTTATTTTGTTACAGTTCTCATTGTTTGTTCCAAAAGTGAAGGTTGTTTACAGTGCTACTTGCGTTTTCAATTTTTTTCCTACTTTGCGGTGAAATCGATTTGTCACTGAAATCGTTACAATATCGGGGATAACACAAAACTCGGTGAAATACTGAGTGTTACATATATTCACATACATTCAACAGAGTACAGTAGTACAATATTCTCTGATTATAGTAATTATACATGGTAAAATGGGAATATGTCATATAGCATGCAAACGTAAATTACCTAAGTTGATCTACCTTTGCCTTTGTGTTATCATAAGTGTTCTGTTGTATGTTCTTTGATTATGATAGTTTTACATAGTAAGATTAGGATATAGTATGAGTATATCTTCCAATGTATCAGATGCTTTAAAATAATCACATAGTTCTTTATATCTTACGTTAGGTGTTTTCCTTATTACACGGTCTACATCTAGATTCATCTGCATTTCTTGCACCTTGTAGTTGCCAATACATTCTATAACCTAAACGTATTCTGGCAATAACCATGTCACATTACCTGGTCTTACTTCAGTGCCATCCATAGGAGGGATTACAATCTCTATACTGATCGTAGTGCCTTATGCTACAGCTTTCAGGCGTTTGTGAACTTATCAGATCTATTAGTTCTTCATTATGAGAACTTTTTAATGTGTGCAACCCTAGCAAGAGGCATCCCAAGATCTATATTTACAATATCTTTGCTACAAGGCTCTTTCGCCAATTTGTCTACATGGTCGTACTTGCGTCTACCAACATGAGATGGTATCCATACAAATTGAATGTAAAAATTGTGCTCTCTTGTATAAGTAACGTTACCCTTAATGCAGTTCACAATTTCCTCATCACCATCTGTTTTGAAGGAAGTGTCTGAAGAGCACTTTGAGAATCACAAAAAAATACTCCAGAACCTTTAGACATCAAGTATTCTGTTGCAAGTAGTATACCTGCCAACTCCGTTTGAGTAGTGCTGGCCCAATTTTGTACTCTCATATTAACTTGGTGTTGCAATAAACCATTTTTGTATACAGCACAAGGACAACCAGCTTTGTATCCAGACTGTATGGATCCGTCAGCATAACCCTTGTACACATTGCTCATAGGTTCCAAGTGTTCCTTTACCGTCACCAATGCGATTTGTTTCAACACGCAGTTAGGTACACTGTTTTTTTGCGGTAGACATGTAAAGTGCACAATCAGTGATGAAGTTTTCCATGGGGGAATGGATCATCCTTTTGGTATCTTACTTATGGGGACATAAAGCTTGGTAATGTTCATGCAGAATTTGTGTACCAGTGAGTGTTTGTATGTCTGATTAGGCTTGTCTGCTTGTGTGATATTATGTTGCAGTTGTTTTTGGAAATATGTGAGAGAAAGGGGTTCCCTCAGAACTCTGACCCCAAACAGGGTGCAAATATATATTATTCTATCAAAAATAGATGGTAAGTTTAGTTCTAATCTCATGTTCACTATCCTTGCTGTTATCGGGGCGCCAAGGATAATCCTCATAGCTTCATTTTGTACTATCTCCAGACCTCTTATTTCTGAGTCCTTATACTGCAATAAGTGCAGTGCATGGTAGTCTACAACTGATCTTATAAAAGCCAAGTAACACAGTCTAGCGAGCTTAGCATTGATGCCATGTCCCTTTCTGACAAGGACTTTCAGCGGTTTCAAACTCTCCCAGACTCTCTTCTTCAGAGAAGTGATCAGGTCTGCATCATTTACATTCACCCTGAGATATTTATACATATGACACATGTCAAGCTCCTGGTTTCCTATTTGAAATGTGGGTAGGGTTATAATATCCGGGTTGAGAGCCATTGTTTTTTCAGCAGATATGACTAATCCACACTCATGAGCCCTTGTTGTGACTTCGTCGAGAATTCTTTGCATTCCTTCATATGATGATGCTCTGACACATATGTCATCAGCATAACATATAATAGATTCCCCATCCCCAAGTGGAATATCTGTCACCAATTTGTGCATAAGGACATTGAACAGCATAGGGCTGAGAACTCCTCCCTGTGGCATCCCAAGTTCAAAGGGCTGTGAGGTGGAACTCCTCACTCCCTTGAACAAGACACTTGCGGATCTGTTAGAAAGATACATTCTAATCCAGCTCAATAATTTATCTCATATGCCAAAGCTTGCCAATTGTTCTAGGATAACTTCTCTGTTTGCAATGTCAAAAGCTGACTTAAGGTCAAGAAAAACAGTGTGCTTCCCTGGATTAGAGCTTGAAAAATACTCTGCAAAGTAATGTTGTATACTACGTCCCAGTAAGAATCCGTACAGTCTGTGAGATAATTTACCTTGTAACCTGTACCTGATTCTGTTTAAAATTATCCTTTCTAGGATTTTACATAAACATGAGGTTAATGAAATTGGGCAGTGTTTATCAGTGTTTGTCCAGGAGTCAGG